TCCGACTCACGCGGGAGTGAAACTGTCAATTTTTTCACTTGTGCTGTAATATGCTATTGCAGTTTTAGGTCATTAATTCCTAATTTTAAGACATAGAACAATGTGAAAATTTTAAATAAGTAACAGACGAAATGACGGCGTCACGTGCAAAGCAAGGAAAATGAATGTTTATATTATAAAAAGAATGCGTCGAAACGTTTTCATTTTTTTCTTTATCTGTATTGATTTATCTATTTTCACATACATTGTGCAAAAATATTTGGTAATTGTAAATTTATTGTAATAAGTTGAAAAATATCAAAACTGCTAAAATTTTTGGCGACCCGCTGCTGCAGGTCCCGCGACCCACTTGGGAATCCCGACCCACAGTTTAAGAAACTCTGGTATATATAGTAACAAATTTTGATTAAAATAAAATATAAGTAAATATACGTATATACGTAGGTTAAATGGAACAAAAATTGCATTTTACTATAATTTTTTTTACTACCATTGCACGTTTTCTATTTTTTCTTTTAAAAAATAAAAGGATTATTTTATTTTAAAGTATTATTATATTTATATATTTATTAAATGAAGAATGGTAAACACTGTTGTTTACCATTCTTGTTCGAATAAATAAATAATATCTCCCCCAGCGATCTTGAAATTCTCGATATTCGAGGTCTATTTTTCTTTTATTAGTAGCACTCATATTCAATAATTATTTTAATTAATAAATAAATATGAAATTAAGTTAATAATATTATAACACAGTCACCCCTCAACAAATTCTAGACAAGACTGCACTCGGACGATTGCATGAATCAACCAAATAGCGCAGGTTAGTGTGCTCATCACGTGCGCCAACCATAGATAAACAACAACCAACCACAAATATAATATGTGGCCCCAACGTTGAGCCAACCATCATCAGACGTTAAACGGATTGCTGCTGTATTCAGCCAAGTTAAGTGAAGTTAAGCAAACTAATTAATACCTATTTTAAATTCAAATTAGATTTAAATTTTCACATAGTAAAATAATTTTAATATTAATAATAATAATTTAGTAGCATAAATTTATTCATAGTAAAATGTACTCGCGGGCCGTAAAAATAATTTGGCGGGCCGCCAGTTGGACAGCCCTGGTCTATGGGATGCGATTGGACTCGCACATTAAACTCTTAACTTCATCGTAGAACATTATACAAGTTAAGGTCGATGTAAGCAATTATGAATTATACTTTGTGGTATTTTTTATATTCTAATAAATATGTTATTATATGTTTATACTTGGATATTTTCCTTTTGGATAATCATCAAAAGGTCATTAGTTTTTTTTTTTTTTTTTTTTTTTTTTTTTTTTTTTTTTTTTCACGCAAGTACTGAGTCATTAGTTTTTTTTCACGGAAGAGACGTGAAAAATGAACAATGCCCTCGCTGGGACTCGAACCTGGAATTCTCGAATACGCACCGAGTGTGCTACCATTATACCATGAGGGCATGCTGGAAGGAGGGAGAAAATACCTTTACGGTATACTTCCCCTTTTAAAGGACGACTGGGGTTTAGAGGACCCAGCCCACCAGCGGCCGAGCGGTAAAATCTCTGAACACTGGTAGTTCGGCCCGAGGTTCGAATCCCGCGAACGGGCTGGCTGCATGGGCATTTTCGTGGTTTTCCCCATGTGTAACGTGCATACGAGCCAGTTTTCCTTAGAAAATCCTCCACGAAGGCATCCCTCCCCTTAGGCAGATAGCCCTAATGTGCTTTGCTGTATTCTCAATACACCAATACACCAATTTACAGGACCCAGTCGCCAAATCCTAGTGGTGACTACTTATCGTCCACCACCTTTTAGTTCCGGCGCCATTGTATAGATATTAGGCTTTTCTAAAGTAGGAGACATGTGACGAAAAATGAACAATGCCCTTGCCGGGACTCGAACCTGGAACTCTCAAATACGCGCCGAGTGTGCTACCAATTACATCACCAAGGCATGTTAGAAGGAGGGAGAAAATACCTTATATACTCCTCCTTTTAAAAGGCGACTGGGAGGAAGGTAACCAGTCGCCAAATCCTGGTGATGACGAATTATCGTCCACTACCTTTTTTGTTCAGGCGTCACTGTAAAGTCATTAGGATCTTTCTGAAGCGGGAGATGTGAAAAATGAGCAATGCCCTCACGGGGACTTGAACCTAGACTTTCTAATACGCGCCAAGTATGCGAACAGTTACACCACGAAGGCATGCCGGAAGGAGGAAAAAAATACCTTATATACACCCTTTTTTAAAGCGCGAGTGGGGCCAAATCCTGGTGGTAAGAGTCAGCATTTCCCACTTTTTAGTTCGAACGCCACTGTAGAGTTATTAGGTTATTTTAAAACAGAAATGTGAAAAATGAGCAATGCTCTCGCCGGGACTCGAACCTAGACCTCTCGATTAGCCGCACAGTGTGCTGTCGTTTGACCACCAAAGCATGCTGGAAGGAGGGAGAAAATACCTTAAGGTAAGAACTTTTCATGCATTTTTTTTGTATCTATTGACAACCTACTGCTTTTATTTGAGAACAAACCCTGAACAAAACTTACCTGACATCCCTTCTTTGACACTTTATTTGCTGGAAAAACCACCATTTCATTAATTAAAACCTTTAATTAATATTTTTAAAGTTTATAGTATTGGGCCGAATATGAAACGGGTGTCCCCACTGTTAAAAAATGTTCATCACTTCTACCTTAATTTTTACATTAACCGAAAATATATTTACTTAATTCTGTATATCAAGGTGTTGTGTTTAGGCCATTGAATTATTTACCTTTCCAAGTAATGAAAACCGCGGAATACCGATAGTTTCACGTGGGTTCGTTTTGAAACGAAAAGGCTGGCTGCATAGCTGATTTTCGTAGTTTTTTCTAAGCCAATTTTCCTTAGAAAGTCCTCTACGAAGTCATCCTTATGCAAATAGTTTTCGTGTGTTTTGTCGTTTTCAGGTAAATTAACTATGTGAAGTACCCTTAATATATCAAGTTCATAAATGTCAGGTCAACCAAAAGGATATGATCGCTGAGCACTAACTGTTCGACCGGGGCTCGAGTCTGCTCAGATGAGTTGGTTGCATGGGAGTTTTTGTGGTTGCCATATACGTAATATAAATATGGGACAGTTTTCCTTACAATATCTTTATAATCTTTATATCATTTATCAAACATCACATTATTTTTAATTATTTGTTACATTGCTTCATCATTTTTTATTTTATTTTCAGAACATCATTTATTTTCATACATTTTTTGTAGTGTCTGGTAAATTTTAAAGGGAGAACCTATCTCTGAAATTAATTTCTTATATATCTTCAATAAAAAAGAAAGAGCTTTTTTAAAGAAGGAATTTTTTAGAAAGGAAAAATATTAATAAACTACTGGCAAACCAGTTTTAATGAGCAGTTTTATCAGCTACCAGCAATTGTAAATTTATAATCATTAATTCGAATCAACACGATGATTTGATATTAATTGAGAAAGAAATTATTTTTTCGCATGAATAAAATTTCGCACAAATTTAAGTAACGCTATTAAATATATTTTCGAACGAAAAGTTAATAGCATGAGGTGCAATTAGAAGTTATGCATTTTGCATAAATATATTTTTAATTTAATTTTTTTGAATTAATAAGTATTCAAAAAGCTTGCGTTTTAAATTGCAAAGGAAAAGTGAAATAAAGTCGCCAAAAAATGTCAGATCATTATCAGAAGTATGATCTCATTGCTTTTGGTCTGGGTAATATTGTTCTTTACATCACTTTCGTTCAGTGTTATCACAGTTTCAGTATCTGTTAAGAATATCAGTCAGAAACATTAGCTATGATTCAAAAATTTTCCAGTATCAGTTGAAATAGAGTTGATACTTTTTAACAAGCTAAACAATTGATAAAAATATTTAACAGCACTTTTAATATTTTTTATTTCTTTATGAACTCTTAAATGTCCAATAATGTTAAGGATTTAAAATAAAATTATTAGGATATTAAAATTTTTTCAAAGGTTTATGAACTGAGCATCATATAACAAACGCTTCTCTTTAAAGTTGTTGTTATATAAAGCATTATGAAGCTTACTTCTGAAAATAGCTAAATATTAGGCGGTTCACTCGAAAAATTCAATCATAGTTTAGATTAACAGTTATTTTAACTTTACTAATATTGAAAAATTCTCCAGAATATGATATCATGTCCGCAAGAATATGTTCGAGAACTGTTATCATCTAATTCGAGAAAAAACTTAACTTAGTATGTTAGAGGGAAAAAAAAGGAGAATTATGTATAATCAACTTGATTTATTTATTTAATATTTTAAAGAAAAAGGGGATTTATTTATTTACGAATATTCCGTAATATGCCTTCTTTTAATTAATAATTCATTTGTATTAACTACAATTCGTAAATCTGATCTATAGAAAGTCATTAAGTAATCAGTTTGAAATTTGAGTATAATTACTTTTTGCTTCTTTTGCGTTCAAAAGATATCACCTATGCTCCTGCGCACTTTTTAACATCGGAAAATAAAATCACGTGTATATTACTTCTCCGTAACACATAATTCTGAAATTCCGTTCAATTAAAGTAGCGATTATAATACGTGAATTATTCCGAGAAACGCCAAAACATGTCAGGAAATTCAAGAAATTACCTATGCTCCTGCGCACTTTTTAACACTGGAAAATAAAATCACTGAAATTCCGTTCAATTAAAGTAGCGAATATAATACGTGAATTATTCCGAAAAACGCAATAAAAAAATTAATGATACATATTTTTTTTTTTTTAAATATAAATGATGATAGTTCGGAACATTGGCTCTTACGGCTGCAGGAAAAGCAGTTCAACAGTTATTCACAACAGGTGTTCCTCGCGTAGGCTGGGCGCTACGCGTAGGTAAGCGTTTTGGCGAGGATCTTTCTCTGATAACCTGTTGCTGACTCGCCAACATATCCGCCAAAGTTGTTGCTTATTACGGGAGTGAGCAGAGGGATTTGTGTTACAGCGCTAGCAGGGAGTAGAATTGGGATTATTTCGGAAGGAAATTTTACTGATCTTCATATGCTAAGATGTCCTCTCAAACTGCAACAGTGTCTGTGAATACGGATTATCTGAAATCCAGACCTGGGATTTTTCGGATTTTCGAAGCAGTGAGTACATTTTTTTTTTATACCTTTCGAAACTTTACGCCGAGTAGGAAGAGAGATATTGGGGTAATAACAGTAACAGCACGTAGTGAACTATTATATATTGATTGTGTGTTTATTTTGCTTTCTGATACGTTTCGGGGCAGGGAAGAAATATTTATATCAACACGTCTTTTTCGAACTTGTTTTTGTTATTATTATTATTTTTTAAATGTTGTTGTTTGTGTTCTTTTTCTATCTAAAATAAAATTTAACAGCTATTGGAAAAAAAAAAAAAAAAAAAAATCGAATCTATCAAAGAGAGAAAATAATCATATTTTTTTCCTTTCTTTTCTTTCCCCCTTTATTTAAATTAAGAATGCCTGTTATAAAGAAAAGTTAATTCCGTAATATATAATTTGAATACGTTAAAATGAGCTTGCTTTCATTTTAGTGAGATTTGCTTATGTGAAGTAAATTAATTTAGATTAATTACTCAAATGTAAAATAGCTTCATTAACTCGTTAAATATTATTACAAAGCTATCTAAGAATGTTGATCCGAAGAGTATCCTCACGTGATTCGGAATGCAGTGCATCCAAGAAGCTTGTTCTCCATCTTAAACCGAGTTTTTTTTTGGGTGCTTTGGGAAGCGTTGGAAACCAGCTGCATCTGAAATAGGTGTTTCTCCTTGGCCATATAAAGCGACGTTTTGCGTGGGCAGGGTTGCAGTTGGATTTAGGGTGTAGCCTTTCACTTTTGTGTTGCTTCTTTTCCCGCCAGGTTATGCGCTTTCTCGCAATGGTTGCCGATATGTAAACGACGTTTTTCAAAATACAAATACTGATTTTTGACTCAGCAAATTACATGGGTTCTTCTTGCAGTGGGTGATTCTGAAATTACCATGTGCTCCAAACCATCGTTCAGCCGAGTTAGATTTTTTAACCGGCTCTAGATAAGATAATTTGAAATTTTCGTGTTCATGTATGCATTTTTACTCTAGTATATTATATTTATCTTAGTATAATATATATTTATAAATATAAAATTCGCAAATAAACAGATAAACGTATTAAAATTAAATCAGAACAACACGCTAGAATTACAAGAGAGAGTTTGCGAATGATTATAATCGGCGTGGGCGTTTTCTGTTTTAGTTGGAAAAGTGACTATAGCTTAAGAAAGACCATTCCAAATTTAATATGACCGGCCTAAAAGTTTTGATTTGCATTTTTTTTAATAAACCAAGGAATTTATCTTTTTCTGTTTGTACACAAATTAATACATTTTTTGAATGGGTTAAACCGCGAAAAGCTTTTTGAATAATTATAAATCAGAAAGCAAAACTTTTTTTTTTTAGTTAAAAACTCTTCACGAATTCTATTACATTCGCAGAGCGGTGTGCTTTTAGTGAAATACGCTGCTCTTTTTAATAATGTAACTTAGCTAAACATATTATTTTCCGAAGAAGGGATGTTAGTTCATCATGTCTTTTTAAGAGCTGCACGCGATTTTGTACCATTTCCTTTCTTAATTTATTCAGCACAATTAATTTTATGCATCACAAAGCTTCTTGGTATAAATATATAAAATAATTATAGAAAACTAACTAAAAAGGATATTAAATGTGTACAACTTGTCGAAAATTTATAAGTGCCTTTTTAGCATTCTTTAATAGTAAAAGCAAATTGTGAATTTGGGTGACGATTTGATTGTATTACTTTTCTCAAATATCGATTACTGACAGGAGTAATTACAATATAAATAAAATTCGTCAAATAGGAATGCTATTATTGAGCATGTGAAACAGAGAATTAAAACCAATTAGCTAAATTACTTTTTTTTTTTTTTCCTAAATTACTTTTATATTCAGAGTTTTTGTAAGGTGTTGTTTATATAGGTTATGAAGTATTATCTCCCTCCTTTCTGCATGCCTTCGTGGTGTAACGGTACCACACTCGGTACGTATTCAAGAGGTCCAGGTTCTAGTCCCGGTGAGGGCATTGCTCATTTCTTCGATTTGCTTTTTTTGAAAAATTCTGTAATGACTGTACACTGGCGTCTGCGCTAATAGGTGATGGTTGATGATACTTCACCACCAGGATTTGGCGATTGGGTTCCCTAATCTCCAGTTGCTACGGGGGATTCTCTCCCGCCTTTCTGCATGCCTTCGTGGTGTGACGGTTAGCACGCGCGGCGCGTACATCGAGAGGTCCAGGTTAGAGTTCCGGCGAGGGCATTGCTTATTTTTCATGTCTCCCTGCTCCAAAATAACCTAATGACTCTACAAGGTGTGTATTTGTCCTAGACCAGTAAACTTTTAGATAATGCAGAACACTTAAATTCTCAATTTAAAATTTTACGAACCGCTAATTTAATTTTTAAAGGCACAAATTTATGAGCATTGAGTATAATATAGATATATATTTATTTGTATATTAATTATTTTAATTGCATTTATTGGACGTTAACACAAAAAGAGTAATAAACATATACATTTTATTTTTCATGTAAAAAATGAATGAAAAATAAAACATATATATTTTATTTTTCATGCATTTTAGAGCGCATTAAGTGCTGAATCATAGATGAAAATCTTGAAGAAGTACCATGCGACATATATATATATATGGTTTTACGCTGTTTATAAATTTCGTCACGCAGAGTTACTTCAGAGTATATTCAGTGATAAAAAATTCGTAGTTATTTCAAAGCTAAATACTATTTTTTTTTTTTTTTGGTCTAAATACCATGCTAAATAATGAATCCAGTGAAATAAAACTAATAAATAAAAGAACTGTTTAAATTATCTTTTGATGCAAAATAAGATAAAATAATTTATTGGGTCACTGTGATAACAAATGTGATAAAAAGTTAATTTTGGCAAACGTTTCTTGTAAAACGCCTCGAAGAACGATTTTAAATCTAAGAAAGATGTGGAGAAAGTCGAGATAGATTAAAAAATATTGAGATTTTGTTTGCCATCAAAAGACTTCTAAGTTTTTATTGAAGTAGTGAAAAATCTGAGAGAAAAATAGATGAATTTATTGAACCTCTATAATCCTATTAGAATTTCGAAATACCTGAAATAAATTTGATTGAAAACAAAGCAAGAACACGGCATCGAAATCGTTTCACCGTGCTCGACGAAAGGTGCTTTGTTAGAAATATTATTTATAATCCTAAAACAGTGCAGTAAAATATTTATTTTAGTAGCCAAGTGTATGTTTAACAAGTCTAGCTGTTAAGAAACTGTTAAGAATATTTTAAGAAAATTTAATTGACGTGGCCTTATAGCTAGAAGAAAACCATTTCTCTGCGAAGCGAATCGAAGGTCTGCTGATTGCTGGCTAAGTGTTGAATGCCTCAACTTTTCGAATTCGATTATATTTGTAGATGAATGCATTTTGAATATTTTTAGGAAAGCTGATGATATGGATATTTTTATGAAGGGTAGATGATGGAATATTTTTAGGAAATAGATATATAAATGGTTGTAGATGATGCAATATTTTTAGAAAATCTTATTGATGTCCAAATGGATAAATTTACGTATTAAAAAAATTTAAACGAATTTTGAAACAGGGTGCTTAGAAACGGACATATTGTTGTTACCAGGACAATCATCCAAAGCATAATGTGAACTGGGCGAATAATTTGCGAACTGTGAACTTTACATAATTGTTCACAGATAATCAAAACGTCTGCGCGAAGTCCAGAACTCAATCCAGTTGAGCTTACTCGGAATCATTTGCAAGGCAGAATGAATAAATTTAAAATTTCGAATAAAAATTAATTTGTAGAAAAACTTACCACAGAATGGAAAACTGTAAAAGCAAACCTCCGTCAAATACATGGTTTGAAGACTGTGTGAAGTTATACAAAAAAAAAAAGGATGTACAACACATTATTATCATTGATTTAAGAAGAAAGAGAAACAAAAAAGTTTGGGATCCAATACGTTTTCAACGATTTTGTGTGTTCATGAAAGTGTACAATTTTATTTAACATAATTTTTAGTTAATAATATTATTTTTAGTTAATTTTAAGATTTTTCAGTTTTGGCATGTAAGCGAAAAACTTCGTTTAATACTGAATTATTCTTTCAAAAAAATGTTTGAAACTTTAGTGTGGCCTAATACTTGACTCACAGTAATGCTGGAGATTCCGTGCAAGATTTTAAATTTGTTTATAATGTGAAAGTGAAAATTAAGAACTTCGTCTAAGTAGTTAAGTTAGGAATTCGAGCAACAAACACATTTGTTCCTGAAAAATAGCAATTGTTCAGTAGTGATTAAGAGCTGCCGATAGGAGGTGCTGCTAGCGTGTTATACTCTCGACCTACGTAATTTGAATTGAGTATTCTTTTCTTTTGTGTACTTGCTGTAACAGATCTTACAGCTTTGTGATTGAGAATTTAAAATATTTTGGAGCCAGATCGTTCCTCTACAGCAACAAAAAGATTAATAAATATATAATAAAGTAAATATCTTTGTGATGATAATCTTTGTTATTAAATACAAAGTTAACCAGCTCCTGAGTACAGTTCAAGTGGTCCGTCGAGAATCGAAGGTGAGCTCTCCCATTTTAATCTCTATTAAATTTGAAGAGTATAACTGTTATAAATATGGAAGCTCTAAAAACTAGAAAAAGAGTGTTAAAAAGTTCACTGACGAGGCATAAAGATAAAGTTGTTTCGTCATTAGATGTTTCAGATTCAGTTGCGTTGCAGCTATTTGAAACTAAAACTAATGAAATTTCTAACGAACTTAAATCTGTATTTTATTCAATTTTCGAAACATGTAAACCCGAAGAATTGGATAACTTTATTAAGGATAAAGAAGATATACAGATGATATTGTTGATGAGTTGCTATTGATGATTAAACGTAAATTAGCAGTAGTAAAAAATAAGATGAATTCTGAACATTCTGTTTCTCCTGTGCCGAGTAATAATAATTCAAATGTGTTTTCGGATGTTAAGTTACCGACGCTATCGGTACCAACATTCAATGGTAAAATAGA